ATCTTCCCAGAAGACTGGCTTAAATCGACGTTTATACCTATACCCAAGAAAAATAAAGCAAATAGATGCTCACAGTTCAGATTAATTAGCCTGATGAGCCATTTTCTGAAAACGTTACTCAAAATTGTACATCAGCGACTATACAGAGAATGCCAAAGAAACCTGAACGACAATCAATTTGGATTTCGGATAGGGCTTGGTACAAGCGAGGCATTATTTGGCCTCCAGATATTATTACGAAAATACGCAGAAATCATAAAAACCCTAACACAACATGGTATAGACCATAACACTATCTCATATTGGGATCAAATGGCGTCGATCAAAATAGACAATCGTCTGACAGTAGAATTGCCAATAAAAAGAGAAGTTCGTCAGGGCTGTGTACTTTCTCCACTGTTATTTATTATATATTCCGATAAGATCTTTCAAAATGCCTCCGAAAAATTGAAGAAAGACTAAAAATCAACGGAGAATACATAAACAACTTAAGATACGCAGACGACACCCTCATTATTGCGGACAGTGCTGAGGGTTTACAACGACTTTTGAATTTCATAACCAGAGAGGGAAATAGCTTGGGACTAAATATAAACACAAATAAAACAAAAGTAATGGCTGTTACACATGCACCAAATGTCGACATTAATATTCGTATCTATAACAAACATATAGAACCAGTACAAAGACTCCAGTATCTTGGTTGCTGGATAACAAACGATCTTGATCACGAGGTCGAAATACGTGCCCGTATAGAATAAATATACTTGGTCCGCATTTCAAGAATGAATTCTTAATAAGCTCTACGTTATCGTTGGATATCCGATACCAATTTGTAAAAACGTTTATTTATTCCATATTGCTATACGGAGGTGCAACATGGACTCTCGGAATTACAAGTATGAGGCGTATAGAAGCCTTTGAGATGTGGGTTTTTCGTAGGATGCTGAAGATCTCTTGGACAAAGCACGTGACCAACAACGAGGTGCTGAGAAGAATAGGTACTGAAAGAGAACCTAAATATTGTAAAAAACAGGAAAACGAGTTATCCTGGGACATATTTACAGGGGAGAGAGATACAACTTCCTACGACTTATAATGGAAGGGAAAGTGAAAGGAAGAAGAGGTCCAGGAAGAAGAAAGTGCTCCTGGTTGAAGAAGTACGGACAGGTATGGAGACACATTCGATATTAAGAACAGCTCAAGATAGAGAGCAATTTGCTGTAGTTATAGCCAACCTTCAGTAATAAAGAAGCCACCTTAAGAAGAAGAAGGATATTATCATGCAATATGTATATAATATTTATTAAATTTATAAATATATGCGTCACATATCAATTTAAAAAATACCAATATGTTTTCTCTAAGTTTCTGGCTCTTGTAATGTCTTTATAAAGTTGGTTCATAACAGAGGATTATTTAAATGCTGTTTATTATTTAATATTATTTGTAGTTGTTTCACACTATATAGAGTACAATAAAAATTTTGACAAATCAAAAGAAAGTACTACTATTAACAGGAGCTTTTAGTAAAAATCAAGCTTAAACGCGAAAAAACACTATTTATTATTTTTGTTAAGTTATTCGTTCTCAAAAATAATTGTACGCCGAATCATAGCCTTATTACATATTTACAGATTAGTATGGAGTTTACTTAATTTTAAATTCAATTTTGTTGTTGACAATTAATCAATTAAAGTGAAACATAAATATTAGTTATTCTTAATTAACTATGGTTATTATTGTATAACTTTTTAATGGTCACCATAAATTTTAAATATAAAACAGTTAATTTGTCAGTTGTTTATGTTTTTACAGTATAATTAATATCCTCTAACTCTTTTTGTTCAGAAACATAGGATCGGTAGACGGCCCTCGTTCCCTGCCTCGAAGAGGGGTCAAATCACGTCTGTTGCAGTTCAGCACCAATAACGGGTACGTCTTGTCGCACCTCTGAACAAACCATCCTCTGAACTCCCCTCAGTCGTCACTCTGGCAGCGGCAGGATCGAGGGTCGTTCTGCCGATTTTAGTTCAGTTTCAGTTTCTAAAAGATAGAACAGTTCTTGTTTTTGAACAGCGCCTGCCACTGCCACTGTATGACGATCGTTCTTCTTTCTTTAATTGTTTATATTATTATTTTACTATATATGTGTGTGTGCCTGTTCGAAAACATTTACTGCTATCCTTTTGTATTTAATGAATTACCTATAACATATATTTGTTAACATGCATGTTACCCTTACCATTAAATAAAACCAATTAAAGTAAAAAATATTTTATATAACCCTCTAATGCATCATTTTTGTTCGAGCTGAAAAATTCAAAAAAGTCAGATTTTGTACTTACAAACATACTGTACATGTACTGAGGCAAAAATTGATATTACTGCCAGGTGTACCTCTAATGGGAAAAAACAGACATCCGCCTTGAGGCGGACTTGTGCAGTAACCATGCATTAAGGTAACACCATTTAATTTTTTTTAATTATCAAACTAACCAAATCAAAACATATTGAAATAATTGTTAAGATTATTAAGATTAAGATTAATTGCATTTTGTACAATATGCTTGAGTTTCGGCTGTGCACTTTGGAAATTTTCACTGTTTTTTCACGTAAGTACGATTATTTCATATTCTGGTCTTCATATGAATGCGATACCGATCTAATAGTTCATCCAATACATCAACATCGCCCATATGCCGATTATATTCTTTGATGATCTGTCGGCAATCAATTTCATCATGAATTCTTTTATTTTTCTATTCCACTGTCTAATTTTTTGGGACTGTACGCTATTATTTTTGGATGCAAATGGTTTTACGCCAAGTCGACAAAAGTCACACATATTTTGTATCGTTTAACAATACAGAGCTAATATCGGTACCATATGCCTTACCAACAAATTCTTCTGAATAGCCACGTTTTTCTGTTGCAAATCTGCGTCGGTCGATAGTTTGCAATTGGGTAATGTTTTTTCTTATCACTGTTCCCAAGCTGTATATCCCTTTACTACGAAGATAGGTAAGCATGTCTAAAGACGTATAGAAATTGTCAAAGTATAGAATGTGATTTACGAAATTTGGAATGTGCTTTGATAAGCGAACCACAACATTCGAGGCAGCCCCAAGATCTAGAGTGTAGGCCAAGATTGTGTTGTCTCCTGCACCAGTGTCAATTTTAAGCCCCACTTATGTGGCTTGTTGGGCATATATTGTCGGAGGTCACTTCCAGTGATCTTTGTAGCGCAGATTTGTTCATCTACGTACAACCTAGAAGTTATAGTGGACTGACCCGTAATTGAAATGTTTCACTAGTGTGATTGACATGAAGTCTATAAGTATTGGAAGATTGATTAAAACTTTTTTCAGCTTCAACGTCAATAGGTACAACCGTGAAAAGACCTATTAAATATTTCTTTTGAGCATAGTAGTCCCCGAACTCAATAAAATGAGCGCAATAAGTCATTATCTTGTGGTAGAAGGGATGACTTGAAAACAGTTGTAACAAATGCACTTGCAGTCTTTCCTGACCTCGTGAGTGATGGAAAGCAATGTCTTCATTACATCCCTTATTTTGCCTGTTTTTCTTCACTTTTTAACCTTCACGTGGCTCATTATTTTCTTTATGGGTATCATACCACTAAGATCATTTAACATTTTTAATTTATTCAAAAAACAATTAGTAAAAACTTAGAAGCAACAGGCAGATCGCTTAGCGATAACAAAATATAAATGGTAGTATAGACGCCAACGACAATCTACCTTTAGTTAGAAGGTTGTCGGAATTATAACTGATCACCAGAAGTATAACTGATCGTTCTTAGCCGTCAGCGCAAGCAACTCATTATAATTCTCCCTTAGCTTATATCTTTCCTCTTTATTATCTTCTATACGGTGATTTTTATTACACAAACGCAAATATACTTCCGATTTTTTCACAAAAAGCTTATACATGGCGCCAATATCTAAACTCCGACCAAAAATGAACTCTGATCGTTCTTTCCTGTGGCGCTTTAATGTATATTTAAACAAAAAAATAGGGGAAATAATAAATAAAAATTACCAGGCCAAAGTACGAAAAAAAATACAAATTAATTACTGCAAAAAAACTGACAAACTAAAAAGCTAAAGAGATATTTATTTTAAAAGGTTTAGAAATTTAGAAGTTAGAAGAACAACCGAGTGTTAAGAATTCTAGTAAAAGGCCAGCAGAACGTACTAAGCCATGTGACATAACCAATTAAATTAGTACAAAATTTTAATTTATTTACTGCAGACAATGTTCCGTACATGATACAAAAAATTATTGAATAAAATAAGTAAAAGATATCCAGACGTCAAATAAAAAACAACAGGGCTTAATATTTCAACAGGACCAAATACTTCTAAATATATATCTTATATATCAAATAATGAAGAATCTAATAAATCAAGAGTAGAAATGTCTAATGTCATGTTCTAAACAAAATTACCAGTAAAAAGGTACACAATGCATGTTTTAAACAAAAAGGGAAAAGAAAAAAAATTCTATTAACAATAAAATAAAAAAAATTGTATATCTAACTCAACAAGGTAAAATAGTAGTAAAGGAAAGATCAGATCATTTCCAATACTTATGTCTAAAAATCATCTGCAAGGTCAAAAAGTCTTTTTTTTTTAAAGAATACTTTTTTTAATTAATATTGAGTAACTTTTTGGGAGAGTTGTAAATATATGTATTCTGACTTTCACAGTAATTTGACAATCCTTTATTATATATTTTGGTTTTTTTTGTCGTAAACTTCTCTTACGGTCAAATTAACAGAATTTTTGTTTCAAATCCAATATGATCAAACTAGTACTCGAGATGTAGAAAGCTAAAATATTGCTTTTTGCCTATCTCCGTATTTAATTGCACAAAATTATTTTGGTAGTAATTTCCACGATGGTATTTGGTAGTAATTTTAGAAACTAAAATATTAAACTAAAATATTTTATAATACATTATTTTCTTTACAGGTATATTTTTACTATCGTAAGTTACCTGATTGGGGTCTTCATCTTTGCAACAATTGTAGGTAAGTGTAACCTTGTCATGACTGTATAATTCTAAAAGGGTTTTCTTATGTCATTATAGCTATTATGAAATTTGTACTTTGAAATAAACGTTTTTATAAAATAATCTGCTCACGTAAGACTTTGAATTGTAGCTTTGTATGTGCTGGTAGTATCATACAAAACCTATGTCCGGCCGATATTAGAATATGTGAGTGAAGCTACAATAACCGCGAGTACAAACACCACCTCCAAGCTTGAAGTCGCCCAGAACACTGCCTTTCGCGTCATCACCGGTGCTCCAAAATCAACACCGATTACATCAATGGAAGCCCAGACCGGTATTGAACCAATACAATGCCGCAGAGAGCAACACGCGTTAACCTTCTGGGAAAGGCAAAGACGAATACTTCCACAAAAATGGAACGAATATAGACAAGCAGCCTCACGTCTTAAAACGCAAATCACTCTGCTTACAGTAGCAAACCAAATCATGGAGAAATACCACATTGTCCTGTCGGAAGCCGCCCAGCGCAAACCACACTGGCCCGCTGTCTACCAAACACAGAATTATTGCTTGAAAACCATAACGACTCGAAGCACTTATCGTCAGACATTGCCCTAAGGAAAGCCGCCCTAGAGACGATACACACCAAGTACCCAGCACATGAGTGGCTCCACATCTACTGCGATGGATCCTCGATGCCAGACTTGGGAAGAACAGGAGCAGGATATGTCTCAACATTCTTCAAAGACTCTATAGCTGTAGGTGCCCCTCTCACCAACTACGACGGCGAAATTGCTGATATACACGAAGCTGCAAAAAATCTTGAGAATTTCCAACACCTCCAAAAAGTTGCCTTCTTCATCGACTGCCAAGCCGCAATCCTCGCCCTATCGACAAATCGATACACTGACTGTGCAAAAACAATATCTTGCCGCGTCCAACTATTGAACTTGATGGAAAAAGGGTGACTGATTACCCTACAATGGATCCCTAGTCATGTCGGTGTTGAAGGAAATGAAGCGGCGGATGAACTCGCAAAAGAAGGCGCTACTCTTCCACAGCCCCCTACCTTTCAATCGTACACATCAGCAAAGTCCACCATTAGAAGAGGAATCAAAGCGAAAATAAAAGAGCAGCAAATACAAGCCGGTGCTGGAAAATCTTGGGCCCACCTAATAGAGTCACTCAAGTTGATACAAATTTTATTGAGTATTGATTTCACGCACGTAGCTTACATTCAATTGCCGATCGGTTCAATCGTTGTTTCTGAGAGAATGGTACATTCTACATAAACAATACTAATAAACGTTTTTGTTTAAACTTATCTTAGCTACATTTTTTATTTGAAACATTTATTTTTCTGTGGCGTACATATTCATGTTAAATGGATTTTTGCCGTTTTTTCCTCTACGTTGGGGTTTTAGGGGAAAGTCCGGGGGTAAAAGTGATAAACTGTTTTATACCTTTTTTATCGTCCTAAAATTGAAAAGTTCGGCAAAATTAAGCTTATTCGTATGATTTTTAAAGGTTTAGTGGCATTTTCGTCTCCGACGACTTGAGTAGTAATTAATAAGTCCTAATCAATTTACATATTTCCAATATAAATATCTACAAACTGTTAGATTCTTTTTATATTTGGTTAATTGTAAATTTTCATGAAACGCTTTGTTCTACTGTGTGTAGTGTCTCTTACTAAATCAATACCCGTTCACAGCAATCAATCACCAGAGAAATCCAGAGCAATAAAAAGTACATAGTTTCGGCTCCATGATCCGAACAACCAACACCAAATTAGCAGTATTGAAAGGCAATAACTCTCGCGGGATGCGTTTAAGATTGCACATCGATACGACGTACCCGCAATATATCACAGAGACGTCACTTCCATTCAATATGGGACGTTAGGAAGCTGTACGATATGTACTATGCGATAGGTTAGTCTTGAGTAAAACAGATGTACATCTCTATTGTAAAATTGATGAGGAGCTCCTATTTCCGGCTATTGTTTTGTTTGTTTAGATGGAGAATGATAGCGTAGATGTGATGGTTAATTTATTGGAGGTTTATATGTAATTTCCGGCCAATTGGTAAATTTGAAAGTAGGAAAATCGTTTTTAATGTGTGGCTTACTTACACTAAACATACAGAAGCAAACTAATATATCATCAAAATATTTTTTTTGTTTAGACAATAACCGCATTAACCATGAAGGCCATAAGCGGGGTAAAGAAAATAAAATAGGTGTACGAAGAATAAATTTAAGTATAATAGGACGGTACGAGTCTATGTTCTCTATTTTTTTAGTTTTGAGCAAAGAAGTTATAATCCTGTCTGACCATATAGATGGAAAGACTTGATTTGTCCAAATAAAAATATGTAATTTTAACAGCATAGAGATTTCACTCTCTGGTAGGTTCAGCAAAAAAATTAATGATATACCGTCTGGACCTAGAGTGGAATTTTAGTTGACATTAGTGCATCCCTATATTCAGTATATTATACTCGTAAGAGTAATACTCCAACTTTGTTTTTACTGCACTTGGTTTCTTACCTCGCTCCAATGAATTGTTATACCCTAAAGTAATTCTTAGGGGTGAACATGTTTCATAGGCTGACAAACGAAGACCGGAGATTCCTCAGATAATTTTAAGACAATATAACCCAATTCCCCTAGTCCGAAAATGCTTCTTAATGTAGCTAGCACTCTTCGAAGATGGCGCCTTGTAATTAGTTTTTTTAATACCTTCAGAACGCTTCTGTTTGGAAAAAAGAAAACTGGTACAATTATCTATCCTCTAAAGTTGAATTGATTTCATAAATTTCTAATTTCTAGTACCGATCATAAGCATCCGTTTTGGGTAGGTCAACGGTTATTTTAACGCATAACCTTTTTGTTTTTAACTTTTAAGTATTCGTGATACTATATTATTAAATTTTCGGGTATTCTACTACTAAGAGCTACTGGTATGTTTGGTCGATAGAATACACCATTTTCTAGAAAAATCGATAGGAAAACTTTTCGTTTTTTTATTACATTTTTTTTACCCCCTCTGTGGCTCAGTGGTAAGAGCGCCTACCTTTAAACCTAAAGGTCGTGAGTTAGAATCTCACCTGAGTGGAGAAATTTTCGTTTATTAAAAAAAAATTAATGAATGAAAATAATTTCTATCCTTATATGATCGGTACTCACCGGAGGGACCGCAGACGTTCGGATACAATAAGCGTCTCTTAGCAAAGACAATGACGTCGACTTTGCTAAGTATCAAGACAATTACTCTACACACACACACAACACACACACACACACACACACACACACACACACACACACACACACACACACACACACACATACATACACACACACACACACACACACACACACACACACACACACACACACACTACATTAATAAACTTATCTTGATTGAGACTGGCTGAATGACAATTGTCCAAGCCAAATCACACAAAAACATTTCATTTATTTTATTAAAAGTTAAGTTAATAGATACCTTTTTGTTTTACCTAGCTTGTTTTAATAATTCATTTCCTGCAAATATGCAGGACAGGTACGAATAAGGCATTGCCAAATAAGTACCCGCGGATCAACTGAGGATATGACATTAGGCAGCAGTAATGTCATTACTGGATTAAGGCTGTGGGAAGTAAAAATCCTGTAGGCTTAATTCCAGATACTTACAGGCGACACTCACATTATAAGTTAACTGACTGTGATACTGCGATCTTAGGGCACTCTTTTGTCCCGGAGTTTGAGAAATCGGCTTCAAAGGCGGAGGAACTAAGACTTTTAGTGAACGGCATAAGGATGCAGAAGGTAAGGATAAACCACTGCATTAAAGACTTCTTATAAGTATCTGTAGTACAATTATCATGGTGATAAAAAACTTTAAGATTCCGACTACTGGTCATGAAAATCGGAATTCAAGATCCGGCAGGAAGGTAAATCTAGCTCAAACCGTGAGGCCTTCCAGGTCGTTATCAAGAGAAATCCTCACGAACCAAACTACATTCTAGATGATGGATCTCTAAGAGTATTGCGAACAGATATAAAGATAGGTACATGGAACGTTAGAACAATGTACGAGGCGGGAAAAATCTATAATGCCATTCAAGAAATGGAAGGACTCTCGATCAATATCACAAAATATTCTACTCAGGAAATTTAAGGACGTACATATAAATAGAGTGGGCCTAATTATGAATAATAAAATCGCCAATTGTGTCAGTCATTTTGTACCTGTATCAGAAAGGGTGCTCTTAGTTCAGCTAAACACAACTCACATAAAAACAAACATTATTCAAGTATACGCCCCTACAGCGGACGCCCCAGAAGAAAAGAATTTTACAATGACTTTACTAATATTGTCAAAAGGATTCGGAAAAACAAAATAATACTAATAATGGGAGACTTTAATGCCAAAGTTGGCAAAGGACAAAGTGGAAATTTAGTGGAATACTTTGGTCTAGGGGAACGTAATAAACGCTGAGACCATTTGATTGAATTTGCAACTGAAGAACAGCTCGTAGTGACAAACACCTTTTATGATCTTCCTCCAAGATGACTATATACGTGGTAATTTTCCCAGGATACTCCAGATCACACAGTAAAGTAAATACCTAAATACACATAGAGGTAAATTATCTTAAAATTATCTGAGGAATCTCCGTTATTCGTTTGTCAGGAGAGTTTCTGGACACCCTATATATGTTACTGTACATCTAGCTATACATCCATCTATCTTCGTCTCTTCTTCTTCGTCTAGCCATTCACGTCCACATCTGAACATAAGCCTCTTCAAGTCTTCATTTCCATTGTTTTTTATTGTACGCTACTTGTAGCCAATTTTTCCCGGCAGTCCTTTTCAGATCATCTGTCCATCTCATAGGAGGTCTGCCTCTGGGTCTTTCGTGTTGGTATGGTCTCCAGGTTAAAATTGATCTGTGCCATTTGTTTAGATCGCTCCTAGCTACATGTCCAGCGTATTTCCATTTCAACTTTAATGATTTTTGCACCACATCGGTGACTTTGGTTTTCTTCTTATCCATGTGTTTGTTTTCTTGTGCTTAAGTGATATACCTAGCATTGCTCTTTCCATCGCGTGTTGAGTGACTCTAAGTATATTTATATTCTTTTTTGTGATTGTCCATGTTTGTGCCGCATAAGTTAATATCGGAATAATGCATACATCAAAAACTTTAGATCTAAGATGTAATTGAATTTGTTGATTTCTAAGTATATAGTTCAGTTAACCGAATGCTGCCCAAGCCAACTTTCTTCTATCTATATGTCCAACATCCATCTATATGTCTATCTAACTCTAATACCCCCTTTATATCAAACTAGAGGCCTCTTTCTCTGACTTTTATGTTTTTGTGTTCATTGCAACTTTTATCCATCTTAGACTGGCCTGACCCTTTAAATCATCTGACAACATAATGGCTGGTCTTTCTTTGGGTAGTTTTGATTTCCGGGTTCTCCAATGCAGCACTTGTGTGTTCCATTTATCAATGTATTAGAATTTTTGATTAAAATCGGTTAAAAAGGAAAACAGTTGTAAGCAGTTTGGTTTAGATATGTAAGATATTTACGAAATTTTAATTTTTACTAGACAAGCTACCTGTTTCATTTTTTCCGTTAGTAAGCATATATGAAAAAGTTTTTAAGTTTAAGTTATTTTGTTTTTAGGACAAGTTGGCAATGTGATAACTAACCGAAATGCTAACAGATTAGAATTTGAACGTCTTCTAGATGGAGCCAAAACTTACATGAGGCATCACAAGGTAAGTTTTCTACGGTGTTGTTTATATAGTTGTATTCATTTTAATCTGGATATTTACTTCTTTCTATCTGTATATGTAATATTCGATTTGTCATAAAAAGTGTGTTTGAATTACAAATTTGTTACAACAAATGTGTCTAGCTACCATTTACTTAGTCACCACTACCTTGATTACTCATTCTATCCATTCCAAGTAAGCCTTGATTCAAATATTATGTACCCAAGATTCTTTATTTTACTTACTAGACTGGATTAGGATTTAGATTTTTACTATTTGGGCTTAAAAAATATTAATCTAATCCAAACCTAAATTGTTGGTTCTGTGGGCTTATATTAAGCCCTATATTAATTTATTTTATCTCTAATGTGCAATTAAATTTGTATGGGCTAATTAGCATAACACACAATATGATGTCTGTTCTTGCTGTGTTCTGCTCTTCATAAACAGACAATTTGTTGCTACCTGTGCTAACACTAAATTCCTTTGTAATGTTTGCGTATATTACACGACTACTCACCTTGCAGTCTACCGATCGGCAGCTTATTTCATGTATTTCTCTTACAAAAATTACCCTTGTGATTGCTTCGTAGGAGGTGTTGTCGAATGTTCCCTACATAACGGCATCAACTTTTGATTTTCCAAAACGTACTAAAACTTTTTACAAGATTATGCAGTACAGATTTTGTAGAGAATCCTACTCCAAACGTATATTGTCTCTAACGTTTCGAACTTTCAACTATCCTATCATCCCTAATGTACAATTCCCGCCATACAAAACTGGTATACTTTTTTTTTAATGTACAGCTGTGTTGAGACTGGAAACAATGGTTCGCGAATCAATTCGTTGTTGTCATCACATATAACGGAATTGTACTAAATCTAAATAAAAAAAATAACGTTCAAAAATGTATAAAGTTTTTAGATAGGTATTACTTTTATAATTAACAACAAACCGTATCTAATAAATTTAATACCTAGAAAGAGTGTTGAGTTAATGTCCAAAATGTTTAAAAAATTTTTAGACGTAGGATATTACCACAAGGAACATTGGAATGCATCTACTGTAATCTTATACATCAATTACCTACCAAATATAAACTGTTAACTGTATTTTATGCAAATAAGTTTAGTAACAGCAAAGATTAATTTATTATTTATTATACTTGATAATTTAAATGTGGCGGTCAAACATTTGTAACCCTCCTTCACAAACTACTAATACAGGTATGGCAAGAACGCGCGTTACCAGAAGATTAGAATACTGTAATTATATGCCCCATACACAAAAAAGGAAACGTTCCAACTTTAGAGGGATTTTCCTTCTTAATACAGCATACAAAAATGTGTCCCTGATACTTAACGAACGACTGGCACGGTATTGACAATATAATAGGATCCTGACAAAGAGGCTTCTTGAAAAACAAATCTACCATTGATCACATATCATCCATCAGACAAATATTAGAAAAAACAACTGAGTACGACATAAACTGCCATTAAATCTTCGTAGACTTTAAGGCAGCGTACGATACTATTGACAGGTCCCAACTATATTCGGCGATGATTGCATTAGGAATACCAAAAGTTTGGTAGAATTAATTGAAATGACAATGACGAAAGTCGAATGTAAAGTGCGCGTACAAGGGGATGTTTCAAAACCATTTAAAACCAACAGGGACTGCGCCAAGGAGATGCACTATCGTGCACGCTGTTCAACCTAGCATTACAAAAAGTTATGAGAGATTCGGGAATAAACTTAAAAGGTACGATATATAACCGTAGTATACAAATAATGGCATACGCTGACGATATCGTCATAATTGGAAGAACCCAAAATGAAGCAGTGGAGGCTTTCACACGTTTTAAAAATGCTGCAGAAAACATCGGCCTTCTGATTAACATTCAGAAAACTAAATGTGTGCCGTCCATATCAAGAATTCAACACAATAACTTAGAGGTGCAACACGAAACGATAAAAATTGTAGAAGAATTCTGCTACTTAGGATCACTGGTAGACTACAAAAATAACACATCAACGAGATAAAAAAAAAATATGCGTGGCTAACCGCTGTTATTTTGGCCTGGGCCCTCAACTAAGAGCGAGAAGTATGTCAATAGCAACAAAGTGCAAACTTTATAAAACAGTAATACGCCGAATGACTTTTTGGTGATGCAGATATTGTGAAGACCATCAAAATAAACCGCCTAAGGTGGGTGGGCCACGTTATGCGGATGGATGAGAGTGATCCCACTAAAATAACTATGTTTAACAGGTCGGTCAGAAGAAAAAGAAGGGGCGACCTAAACTCAGATATCTGGACGATGTACAGGAGGATCTGAGGGAGATTGGAGTGAGGGGCTCGATAATACAGACACTCGATAGGGAAGGATGGAAGAATGTTTTGAAGCAGGCCAAGGCTCACGAAGGACTGTACCGCCAACTGATGATGACGATTTATATAGTTCTACTGAGTTTATTACCCATTTGATTAAAAACTTACCTACTATTTCTTTAGCCATTGGCCTGTTTTTCTTAAACTGTAAGTTATGGTCTTCATTTCAGTAAGCTGCCATATTTTTGGTGGTACCAGTTCTGTATCGGACTCAGCAATGTTCTCCAATCCTGCAATTCTCTAACGCTTTCAGAATAAAATACTAGGTCCATGGTAAAGTTTCAATTGTATGTTACAACGTCAATGTCATATCACACACCATTGTCACTAGCAAAACATTTTTAAGTGCCTTTAGTACAAGAAGTGATAACAAGTTATAGTATTTAAATATTAGGAAACAGATAAATATGATTGCCATTATACTGCAAAACACTATTCGACAGCAATTATATTATAATAAAATTGAAATTAATAAAAAAAAATATTTCTTGTGTATATGTTGACGCTTTTATTTCATTAATTACTAACTTACTTAAGTTAGGTTTTAATTTTCTATTTAAGTGATTCTTATTTACTTGTATCCTTAATATTTAATCTAGGAAAATCGCCAAATACAGTCTGCATTAATCTGTATTTTGGTTGACAACAAAATCAAGGAAAAAATTGATTGTTAATTCGATTTAACTTAGATATGTATTTTTTCGAAGCTGAACATTTCTACCATTTAATCGTATCTCTACTATTTTTTAGACATAATTCTTCCAGTTCTTTGCTAATATAATTATTATCAGAAAACTAATATTTTATTCGAGAAAGAGATTCCTATAGATAAGCTTTAAGACTAATGGCAAACGAGGGTGGGAAGGAAGATAAAAAATCTGCTAAAATGTTTAACGGAGAACAGATTAAAAAGGGTGATTAAAATGACACTTAATTACACGGAAGAATTGAAGCGTGCTCCGTAACATTAATTTATGTAACATACTTAATATTTTTAAAAAACTATAAATATATATATATATATATATATATATATTATATATATATATATATATATATATATATATATAATTCTTTGGAGGGTAACTTTCGGGAAAGCGTCAAAACAAGGATCAGCTAGAGATGGTATAAGCCAGCTTGGTGTAGAACTTTATTCTATATGTGAAATTTTCGGTGATATGTTGTCACCTTCATCAGCACCTAAATGGAAAACCTATTATAGTACAGTGGTGGAAATCAACATTTAAAAACCTACATTGAAAATGTTCAGTTGGTCCTAGTTGTAAAAAACACTGTCACAAACATGTTAAAAATATTAAAAAATACATTTAAAATTTTGAATAAAAACATTACAAACAACAGGGTAGTTTTTCAAATACAAACACAACAAAAAATCTAAACTTTACAACCTACAAAAACTACAAATAGAAAAGAAGAATTAATCTTCTTTTTTGATGACATATTTCTGTCAACATCCGGGTGACATATGTAACGAGGTTATAATTTTCACTTTTGCACATCACAACCACATGGATACGAAAAGAAAGAGCCCTAGGCAACATAATAAGCAAGGAAATAAAGTCCCCTCTAAAGCACAGGTAGGTAATCTATGCATGTCATGATAAGTTCCCCACATTTTCCAGTTTGTTACTTCTTGTCAAGTCCTGTTGAAGTAGAAAGGAATAAATACAACTTAAGTTTTCAACATCTTTCTTACAGTTCATAGGAGAGCTGCAGTTATGGATGTAGCACATTTCTATGAAGTTTCTCTTAAATTGGTTGTCAACCCTCTTTAGTACTTGCACATTTTCATAGTTAGCAGTGTGTCCAGTATTCTTAATATGTTGGCTAAAGGCTGTGCTGGTGGGCTTCCTCACAACATCACTCCTGTGCAAAGCTATTCTTTTTGAGAGTTTCTGGCTGGTTTGACCGACATACACTTCTGAACAAGAACCACATGGAATAGAATACACTACATTGAAGTTATCCAGTTTTTTAACTCTTTCTGTCAGGTGAGTAAAGTATGTCCCTAATCTTTTGTAAACAGAATTTGCTATCACTATGTTGAACTGTCTGAAAAGGTTTGTGATCTGTGGTGATAAACCTTTGATGTAAGGCAATCTCCCATAGAACACTTCTACTGTTTCTCCTTCTAATGTTTGTCTTTGCTGTGTTCTAACTGTTGGCATATCTTGAAATAGCAATTTATTAAGAAGCATCTTAGGGTAGTGATTTTTTCTAAGGATCTCATACAATAATTTGATGTTCTTATTGTAGTTTGAAGGGTGACAAATTCTTTTTATTCTGTTTTTCAGACCTTTGATGATGTTAATCTTCTGTTCGTCTGGATGATACGAGTGAAAAGGCACATATCTACCTGAGAATGTTTTTTTTCCTGTACCAATCTAACCTTACTGTATTGTCCTCATGTCTGGTTACATAGGTGTCTAAGAATGGAACACTATTATTTTCTTCTGTTTCAATTGTGAATTGTAGGTGAGTGTTATATGAGTTGAAAATGTCAAGAGTGTAGTTGATTTTGTCTGCAGGGACTGCACATATGAGGTCGTCTACATATTGGTAAATGAAGGGGAACTGGAAATCAAC